TTACATCTTTGGTTATGTCAAAAAGTAGTCTATTTTATGATATTCTTTTTTTTTTAACCTCTTTTTTCTTGTTTTAAATGTACAATTCGAATGTTAATTAGATTAGTGATTTAATAGTTAGATGGTCTACGATTAAAACTTATTTTTTTTTCCTTAGGATTCTTTTATATCTTGGCACAATAAAAGACAAATAGTTGGCTCTCACTCCTGCTCGAAAATTGAGTATTGAATTCTTGTAAGCACTACTTCTTAACTCTCTTAGTTGCAAGGTTATTTCAACATATGAGTACAATATGTTTGTTGGTACTCACATACATTCTAACTATATCAATGAGATTTAGATTGTCAGTACTGATGTCTTTCGTAAATACATTAAAAAGTACATAAAATGATTCATAATGTCACACAAGATCACGTTCTTCAAAACACTATAAACTTATTCATACTTTGTTATAAGATATCCATACTAAAACTTCACCTGCCTCAACATTTTCATAATAGCTTATATAGTCATCATAAAAATATGTTTGTCAAATCCTAAGAATAATGTTGTAAAAAAAATAAAAAGAAGAAGAGTAAATTCAACTAAATTTGAGAGAGAGGATATTATGGGGGGAGGGGGGGTGGGAGTAGGGTTATGTAATTTATTAACTTGTGGGTAATAATTGGTTGGTTTTTAGGGTGTTGGTGAAAGATGTATGGAACCATAAGTAATTAATTGTTTGGCTGGCAGGTTGTGGTTGTCAGTACAAAGAATTTCAATTGCATTACTTCACTGCACTTTTAATTCTGACACAAGAGATCTCCAGCTCCCACTTTATTTGTGTTTCTTTGCTGACATTTTTATTAAATTATTTTATTATTAAATTCCAAAAAACATGTGATTCACAAGTGACTATTTTATTATTTTTTAATATAAATTTATATTAAATATGTATATATATATACATATAGTATATCTCACGTATTATTTTCATTTCTTTCTACCAAAAAAACATATATATATATATGATATTGTTTTTATTTTTCTGTCAAGAACAGATTATTCAAGAGGCTTTTATATATATATATATATATAAAATTTACTCGCAAGTGATTATTTTGTTTTTAATTTTAATTTTTTTGGGATAAAAATAAAAAAAATAATAATAAGACTCGAATTCACAGTGTTCTTAATTTTAATTTTGAGAATAAATAAAAATTGAAGGAGAACATTTATGGGGTTTAAATATATGAGGACTAGTGGTGGAGAGATTAATTGATTTGGCCAAACAAAGTATTCAACGCTTAGAGACAGAGATTTAAGAGTTTTGGGTAAAGAATTGGGACCATTTTTATAACAAAGAAATAATTTTGTACATATAAAATTGTTGAAGAATTTTATTTTTAATTACAATATAAAGAAATAATTTTAATTATATATAATAATTATTATTTTTACAAGATATAACTCCTTTTAAAATTAATTATTTTAATAATTTAAATAAATATACTTCAAAAATTGACCTATACATACAAATTAATTAACCCATTTAATTTCATGCTCTTTGTACTATTTAGGCACCTATTATGGTTTCTTTTTATTTTTTTAAAAATGATTTAATATAAAATTTAATCACCCTTATCAATATTTTTAAGTGGGGTGCAATTTAGAGAATATACATATTAAATAAATTCTATTTTTCAGAAATTCAATAGTAAATAGAATAGAGATAAAATAGAATGTTAATAATCATGATATGATAGAATTATAATAATGATTTTTCTTGGAATCCTTTGGGGAAAAAAAAATACAGTTCAAATTCAGCATACATACATATATATATGTGTGTGTGTGCCCACAAATAAATAAATAAATATGATTTATTGCAAAATTAAAAATCATAGTTATAAGAAAATCAAAAACCCATTTCTCTAATTGAAGGACTAGTTAAGACAAATTAGTCAATATTCTAAAATTAAAAACTTGATTATCTACGTATCTTATGCTAATACTAGAGTATATATATACATGTCTAGAAATTATATTGCATGAGATTATATAAACATATATGTGTGTGTGTGTGTGTGTATATATGTATATATTTATGCATGTGGATTACTGTATCATGATGGGAAGTGGCTAGATTGGGTTGAGAAATTAGACAGAATCTATCAAATAATGACACAAATTAATAAAGAAAGCTTCAAATTAAAATTAAGGATATATATATATATATATATTTTTTGTAGAGATTGATGGAACATCATCATCCTGCATAGCTGGATGGTTTTAATATGCAAATATGAATATGATGTGACAAACATGAAATCACCTACACTCGTTCGACCTAATGTGTAATCTGCCAATTTATATCACTTGCTCATACTGTAATATATATATATATATATATGTATGTATTTATGTATATGTATGAATATATTCTATTTCATAATTAAGTAAACAGTATAACTGAAATTTACTGAGACTTTAAAAGTATTAATAATATATATATATATATGGTTAGAATAAATAAACCATTTCTTATGAAATTTATACCAAGATTAATTATGAGATAATAAATTTTAATTTTAAATAAAATAAAAAAGGAAACAAATGGTACATTCTAAATTCTAATTCAATCCCTTTTCAAAAAATTAATATCAAAGAATTTCAATACATGTTAATAGATTTAGCCACACATATTATATTTACATACACATATATATATATATATATATGTGTGTACGTGTATAAATATTTTCTTGAAAATAAAAATAAAAATAAAAATAAAATGGGTATTTAATTCTCTCGTACTCTCTCTTTCCATGAACCACCACCAGATGGGTATGTGTTGTGTTAAAAATTAATAAATGAATGACCTCCCAACTAAACTATCTTTAATTTTGAGCTACAGAAATCTCATTCTCATTTAAATCTAAAATATTTTAATTAAGTTTTTGAACAAAAACACTATTTTCCTTCACCACATGAACAGTGGGTCTTGCAATTCTTTGATTTTTCATTTCCCATTATTACTCTTAATTCCCACCTAAGTCAACCCATAAATTAAAATCTCAATTCCCAACTTTATATATCAATATCTTGTTTTCTTTCATGAAGGAAAACAAAAAAAAAAAAAATACCCATTTCAAAAGGAATGAACTAATATATATATATATATAGACCCACACACACACACAATACATACATGCATGCATGCATACACACACATTAATATATATATATATGGTTATGTTATTTGTGTGTGGGATATAAAAATGAAAATGTGAGTGTGAATATTGCAACCATTTTTTTAATATTACTTTTTATTTATTTAGGAGGAAGTTGCAAATGAAATTGGAAAAACTTAGGTTGGTGAATCTTCAAGAGCAGATGGTGATGTGTTGAAGAAGATCGTTGATTAAATATACACCATGCAAACAAAATTCCTGACAGCTCAGTTCCTTTTATTTCCATGGTTGTATAAATATATATATATATATATATATTATTTATATCACAATATATGTACTCATCCCATTTTAGAGTTGGATGTGCAGGTGTTTGGTTCTTGGTAACTTTAAATGGAGTAACCATCATCTTTTTTTTTTTTTTTTTCTGTTGGTCTGATAAAAACAAATAAAAAATAAAAAATTTAACTTTTAAAGTAAAATAACATTCCAATTCTAAATCAATTTAATGTGTTTTTGTTATTTCTCAATTAAAAATATAAATCATCATTAAAAAAACTGAATTTAATTAAAATATGACTAATTTATAAATATTAAATAATTAAAATGAATTGTAACCTTAGAGATTCTTCTTTAACTAAAAAAAATTAAGAGTAAGCATGAGTTTAACCTTTTGGTAAATGGTTAATTACTTTCTTTATTAAGAATAATATCGGTGACCCAACAGCTCATGTCTCTACTTTTACATGTGCAAATTCTCTAATGTAATATGTTGTACTAAAAACAAATAACAAGATTGGACTCTTTCTACATGGCTTCTAAGAGTGTAAATTTTTGTGCCGAGTAAAAGAAAAGCCAAACCACTTTAAACCATCTATGGGAATTTGGCTAAAATTCATTATGTTAATGGAGTGATGAAAAATAAGGAAGAAGACAAATATATACATGTATACACATATTTAACTACTTCAAAAAGAATACTGTCCCTGGCAATTCCCTAAACAGGAACCTCATCATCATGTTCGGTATTATAGACTTTAGAGGCTTGTGGATTTCAAAGTTTAGTCATCAAGGCCCGAGTGAAACCGGCAAGCACCAAGTCCAGACACACGGCCCATGCCAAGTCTTGAACCTCATTTTCCAAGCTTAAAACTCTCTTGTCTTCCTAACTGTTTCCTACTTTCTTTCGAGCTTTCACCTTCAACTCTCAACATCAAGGGATGGGGAAGGCACTGTTCTTGGGTTAAGATTTAACTGGACTCTTTCAACAACGAACACAGGCCACTATCAAGTTATTTCTATCACACTCAAACCCACATAATATGCCAAATTGATCAGGATTAAGAATTTTTACCTATTTGATCATTTTCCTTCGATCTCAGAAAACCCTTTCACAAACAGAACAAGTTGGGAGATACTATTCACTGTTGCTTGGGGGGGGAGAGCATGGCTGATTTAACTAAAGAACAGACCTTCATAAGACTAACATATTAATTCGGTTAGGCTTTGCAGTAGATCTACTTCCTACCAATTTTTCCTCTCCAAACTGTATCTCTTATTACCTTAAAGCTAATGAAAACAAAGTACTTAAGTCCTATTCAGTTATAAAAAACTGCTCTGAGTTTTTCTTTTTTCCAAATTCACGTTCATGAAAATATATATAGTGAAAGTATAGCAGGACAAAAGACCTCATCTCCAAATTCCATATTATATTTTCAATGAAATCTTTTAACCTTTATATTCATTTTTACCTATATACAGTTTTGTGCACGACATGCATAAGTTTAAAAGACAATCTCAAAAAAAAGTCTTCAAACTGATCAGTCTTCGCTAAGATACCAGGGTTCAGTCCTTTTCTAGACATTTCTATATATAGGCAAATATATAATTGTACAAACTTTCTGTCTGAAGTATGAATTTGCTATGCACAAAATCTCCAGAGCGTATTTTAATGACAAAGAAACTAATGTGTTTGGGATAATAGATGGGAGAAACAAAATACCTCTGCCCCTTGGCACTCAAAATCTCCATGAATTGTTGATTTCAAGCCCTCAATTGCACATTTTCTTGCAAAAAGTGGTATAGCTCCTCTGCAACTCTTGTAGGGTACTCTTCTTGTGGCAACAGAGCACCGGGAATTTCCACAAATTTGCTCACTCCTTTGGCTCCCCTGAGTTCTTCCATCTCTGCTTTTGACCTTTTTGGACAACCCTCTGTTGACAATACAAGAATTGGTATCTTTCCCTCTAAATCTGCAAAAAGTTGAAGGAACTCCTGTCGAGAAGCAACAGGATCAAGAAGACCAGTCAAGAAGGCTGCGGGGACATAACGGGCTCCTTTTCGCTTTGTTAGCTCATATCTGCTTCCAATAATATCAGGAGTAACATTTTCAGGGTTTGCATATACATGGGATACATACTGAGACTGAATTGCTTTCTCATTGCTGACAAGCATGTTATACATCATCCACCCAACACCTGGGGCCCTTAAGGTGCCCCTTAGGAGACTATATCTGTTGAATTTCACCAGAAACAGATTAGACATATCAGGTGACAGGGATAATTAACAAAAAGAATTAAAACCAAAACCATCTACATCTTCCATGAAAAGGTTTTCTCCTAGAGAAATCTTTAGAATTCTCAAGAATTAGCTGACATCACTAGCAAGACAGAGTGTAGAAGCGGGAGAAATTCACAACAGTGTAATAGGAACTAGAGCACTACTGCAATTTAGCAGCAAAAAATCGAACGGCAATCAAAGTAGTAAGCAGGGAAAGAAATGGAAGAAATCAAATTCTTCAGTAAGATGCACATAATTCTCCCGTTGCCATCTACTAAAACTACAAAGCAAGCATAGAACTTCAAGACCATGAACAAATCACATTATATCTATAAAGGTGGTGTCTATGTTGGACTACCTTGTCTCCATATTGGAATCTCGGCCAAACACAATTGGAAGAGGACCAGCCCAGGTAGGTGCAACAGCAGCAATGGCTTTTGGCTTCACCAACCCTTTTTTGGCAGCACGAACAACTAGGGTTGCTGCATGCCCTCCTCCAAAAACCACCAACTCATTTCCTAGAGCAAACAACAAAAGATATTACTTCACTTCAATCGCCAGACAATGGGATGATAGCATTTAGCAAAGAAGAACCCAACATAGTACGATCCACTAAAAAGGTTCCAAGTATTACATCAAAGCTTAGACACTTGATGGATAGAGAGAAAGACTGAAGACCGAAATGACATGTAAAGCACCCATCACAGTCAAGTAGGTTGGAGATTCCTTCACATCCCTAGGCATTTAAATGTGTAGTTAAGGCTATAACCGACAACAAATTTGCCTCTTAAGTGTTAATTTGTACAACTAAATAAACTGTGCAGATTACTATTTTACTTCAGAGTATAATATCAGCATCAGACAAATACTGAAATGAAGAGGAAAGCACCCATTGCAGTTAAATAGCCAAGGTATTTAAATATTATCGTTAAGTCCATAACTGACAACAAATTCGACCCTTAAGGGCTGATTTGTACAACCAAGTAACTTAAGATAACAGTATTTAGCTTCTGAGTATAGCATTATCATGGGACATTTGAAATGGTTACACAGGAAATACTAAAATGGTGGGGAAAGTATCCATCGCAATCAAGCAGTTGGACACTCTTCACATGCCAACCCTTTTAAATATTAGCCAAGAAATAACAATAAATGCAACTCTCCAAGGTTAATTTCTACAGTTAACAGTACACATCACTATTTTAAAAAGAGTATTATTATCCAGATATTTGAACAATAATTAGAAAGATCAAGATTACGCTAAAAACACCCATCATAGTCAAGTAGTTCGGACACTCTTCAAATCCTTTGGCATTTAAATGTCAAGATTCAAGTATATAATGCACTAAAGAAACCAATTCTCCTGGTTTATTTTCACGGTCAAGTATCTGTACGCATTTGAAAATACGAAAATAACCCTATCTGCTCTTTTTCTTTTTTTTTCCTATTAATTTGAAAAAGAAAATGCAGTAAATGGAAAGAAAAAAGAACCCATGATATTCACTCCGCTTAAATACTTCACCAATATTACAAAAAAGAAAAAAAAAATATAAAAAAAAAGAAATAGCTACGCAAAGAGAACAGGAAATTGACCCCATAGCTTGAATAAGCAATATTTAAGAATAAGGTTGAGAGATGAGAGACTGGCAAGAACTAAATGTAGAACATTTCAAATTAGCAATTCTCATTTAACGTAAAGCAACTGAAACTGAAATTTTTATCTAATAGTATTGTGCATCAGGGAACCAAATCAAATATCCTGGATTTCACTTCATAGTGAGCATGTTTGCTCGGGTGTACGCCAACATGAAGAGGTTTAATAAGATACAATGAAATGAAAATATCCTTCTGAGCAATTCACTCATGCATCTTATTCATCATGAGCTATTGTTAAATTGGATGGCTAATTAGTAATTTTGATACCAACAGAAACATCATATAACTGATGATCAACAAATATGAAACAATAGAACAGATTAACTGACCTGCATGGCTTATTGGGCTATCAGTTGCATTAATGAAATCGAACACAAACTTCTCCATGACATCAGCATTGTAATCCATCTTTGGCCTATCAGAGTACCCCAAGCCCGGCCAATCAACAAGAGTAGCCCGCCAAGCGACATTACCATCACGCTGAACAATGTCTCTAGCCACTGATCTCCATTCCTCAACAGTGCTAACATCAGAAATAGTTGGTATCATAAGGATATTTTTTGCAGGATTAGGGCTCTCCTTCTCATGTTCCTCATAATATATATTAATCAAATTGTCCTTGAATTTCCACTGCCAACTACTACTCTGAAACACAATAAGCTCTCTATGTTACTGGAAAAAGTAATAACTACTAAATTTTTATTACTATCTACTTCACTTATATAAAGATTCAAGAATTCTACAGATTTCCAGAAGTTTTCAATTCAAATGCATTGAGACTTATACACCTTACTTACAAAACAAGCAATTAAATGCATTCCAAATCCTTGAGGCGATGGAAACAGTCCAATTGACCATTAAGTTTTCATTAAACGAATTCATTTGATACTTTAACTATTTTAGGACAATGTCACAACGATTCATTCTTCAGAAAGCTGTTTTCCTATATTCTAACCCAATCAAATTTATTTCTCTACATTCCAAACTTGTACATACATGAGGGAAGCTTCACAAGTCATAGAACAAACAGTGGAGCATTATATTGATTAAACTAAGTAGATGAAGGAAATTATTCAAAATTTAGGCCACAAGGGCGGGAAACCGAGAAAAAATATCGGGAAGAAAAATCAGTGACCAGATATGTATTACCTTTGACGGGGTCGATGGTTGATCGACGACGGAGACTAGAGAAGTTGAAGACGCTTTAACGGAAATAGGTCTTAAGGAGACAGCTGATCTCGAGAAACATGGTTTCTGAATTTTGCAGGAGAAAGCGAGGGTAGACGATGATGATGATGATGAGATGGAGAACGTCGCCGAGGCAGCCATTGAAAAACCGAAATGAAGATACAGAGAAAGAAATGCGTTAGGGTTTTGAGGTTGTGGGACCAATAATGAAGACAATTCAACTAGAGAAGCTTGAAGTGGCAACGAGTTTGAAACCAGAACCACGAGGTTGACTTTGATTTTTGGTCGTCGCCCCCTAGAAAACTACAAATTTTCGCAGCAGTAGCTGGAGGTGGTGGGGTTTAGGTCTTCTTTCTAGAGATGTCATAATATCAGTTAAGCCCCTGTACTTTTTAATAATCTCATATAATGAATCCTTAAAGAAAACAATTTTACAATTTGCAATTTTTCTCAAAAAGGTTTTCTTTCTCTTTATTAATTAATCAACTTGTCAAAGAACACAAAGCTTATGTTTGGTCATATACTAGAATCAAGTCAACATGTCAAGTCAAAGCTCAGCCAACAAATGAGTCATCATTAGGTAACGCGCAAAGAACGTGAGTAATTAGTGTACTTATTACGTAAGTAATGTCTCGAAAAGATTTGAATCAATATAAAAATTTAAATTCAACCATCAACTTAAATGTTAATTTTCTCAATCCCTCACATCCAAAGAATCTCTATTGAATTAAAACAAATGAAAATTTAATAACTTTTCTTGTCATACTACTATCAAATTCCAATAATTATCATGCTTAGACAAGATCAATGAAACGAACATTACATATCAAAAATAAATTTGATTAATTAAGAATGGTATTACTGAACCCACAAATCCAAGCAGTACATTGATGGAACGTTGGTTTCGTTGTAATGATATTGTCATTACATGGTTATATAATACACTCCTTCATTAATATTAAGTACAACATATTTTATGTAGACCGTGCTAGTTAACTATGGGTTGAACTAGAGCAATATCATGCATAAAAAAACAGTCATAAAATTTATAAAGTAAAAAAATAGTCAATTTAATGCAGAACCAAGACACGATAAACATTTATTTTTGCAAGTTAAAAGCTCTATTTTATGAATTGCTAAATTATAAATTTACTCTTAATTGTACTTGTGGTGGTTTGAAAATTGTGGTTGAACATCAACAAAGGAATTGAGTAACGAAATTCCTCAACATACCAACCTTCATCAACAAACCACCATAGGTTATATATATCTAATATAGTAGGCTTCAAGCCAAAACATCAACTCTAAGACCACACAACCACATGATACATAACTTATGCTAGCCAAATCTTGTCTATCCTCTAGTAAAAGCAACTCCTCTAAGCTTGCCCTATATCATGAAAATCAAGACAGTGGCAATAACATACTTCCTCACTTACCAAGAATACCAAACAGAAGCATAAATATCTATCTACTTAAATGACTTCATCTATAAAAAAATTACTACTTTATCCATTTATTCGCATGAGTTTAACCAGAGAAAGAATCTTCCATCCTTAGGTCATTCTTTCTTTCTTTGTTACACATTGTCTTATGAAGAGACTTTTCGTAGACATAAGAGTTTTGTTTTCTTTTGCTACAGTTTAAATAGAACCTAACCCATATAATAAAACTTGTAAAAACTCTTATTTCAAAGGATTATGCAGGCCGAGATAAAAGCATTAGAACAAAATAAGACCTAAATATTTTTAGATTTGTTACCTAATAAGAAAGTAGTTGGTTGGTAGTAAGTGTATAAGATATAACATAATACATATGGATCTGTAGAGAAATTCAAAGCAAAACTTGTCGCGAATAAATATACATAAGAAAAATGTTTGAATTATCATGAGACTTTTTCACATGTTGTAAATATAGTTTCTATAAGAGTACTATTTACTTTAGTTGCTACAAATAGATGACATCTTCACTTGTTCAACGTAAACAATGTCTTTTTATATGTGACTTAAATAAAGAACTTTATATATAGTTACTCCCTAAATATCTACTACAAATAAGTCTAAATTACGTAGAGCTTTAAAAAGTTATATGGTCTCAAGTAGGCATCACCTAAATAGTATGCCAAACTCTCAAAATTCATCATCCTGCGATATTTTACTCAATCCAAAGCCAATCACAGCCTCTTTATATGGTCAAAAATTGTACTTTTATTGTCAACTTATTATATATTGATGATATAATAGTACTAGTCAATGATATTATAGACTCCATCAACCATCTAAAGTGATATTTGAATGAAAAATTTAGAAATAAACATCTCGACAACCTCTATATTTCCTTGGCATCATGATGGCTAGGTCAAAGAGGGCAATATACATACTTTCAATGCAAATATGCACTAGATAGGTTGATAGATTCTAGAACAACTAGTGTCATACCTGTCTAACTGCCTTTTGATCAAAACCTTATGTTTTCTAAGGAAGGTGGACAACTTCTTGTCCATCCATCTAAGAAGACTTTTTGGAAAATTAATATATTTAACCCTCACAAGACTGGATTTATAATACTTTGTACAATTGCTTAATCAGTTCATGGAAAGTCTGCAAAGCTCGGGTTTAAATGCTGCACACAAGGTTTTAAGATACATTAAGAGATCACTTGGTGAACATCTTTTCGATCCCTTTACATTTACTTTATAGCTTAGAGCTATAGTGATAGTGTCTGGAAGCATGTCGAGATACCCTCAAGCTGTAAATTAAACACCCTCAAGCTGTTATACTACATTTTAACGGTAAACTTAGACTGCATATTGTACAAAAAAAATTCAGTTTTTCATGAGTGTACGAATACGTATAGAGCTTAATTGTTCTCTTATTTGTGAGAAGATTCAGATAGATAGAAACTTAAACTACTGAACATGTAACCGAAGATGAGTCAACTAAAGAAGCTGAATGTGGGAAGCATCCACATGCTCTCCCTCTAATTGTTTATTTTTCTTTCTACAATTCAAACAAAGCAGAGCCCAGCATCTAAATAAGAAAAGGGGGAAACAACTAAAGATGCAGGATGTCAAATTTCCAATCACTGGAAGTCTGCCCCTTCCTACAATCTAGAGATGAAGAAAATTTTTTATTGTATTCTTAATTTTCTTTCTGGTGATAATTCCATATTGACTGTCTTTTTGCCTCAAGCTCCTCATATATCAGTATAACTTCTCTGCATCCAATCATTAATTTTTGAAAGTAGTAGTCAATATTTTGTGTCCAGTAGACAACTCCACCATCTACTCAGGTTTACCAATTGATTGCTTGTAATGGTTCATAAGATAATCACTTCTCACAAAATTTCTGTATGTCCATTGTTTTTTTCTTCGTGCTACTATCTGTTTCTAGCTCTTCCATCTTTTTCTTGGACTCTCGTCTCTTGTTAGCTTATTCCTTGGACAACCTTATTCTCAACATACGACAGAAGAAAAGCCCCTGATCACCAGTAGTCTCCGCATGTACAAGACCCATCTCTGAATAAATGGAAGCGACTTCTGTCCCTAACCACAATTTCCAATCCATAAACCTTAGAAATCAGCTTCATTATGGTGTGGCAGTCCCTACAAACTCTCAAATTCTTCACTATCCTAATAGTTACTCCCTTGGCCAATCTTGTCATTCCAAATGCTACAGCAAGCTTCTCACTGTGCTTACCCACTTGATCTTCTTTTTCTTCCTCTTCTATATCATGCATAACGCTCCCAATTTCTGGCACATAGCTCCCTTCAACTCTAAGCCTCAGAATAATTTCTCTTAGCTTCTCATAAGCCTGCTCTGTTATCTTGTTATTCTTTTCGCCTGCCATGAAAACATACATAATCTTGTCAACTTCAATCATGCTCCAACCCGGAGTTTTCTTGATTTTCTTCTCACTCATTGATCTTCTGACTGCAGCAACATCCTTCCATTTCCCTGCAACCGCATATACATTAGACAACAAAACATGGTCACTAGAATTCTTGGGATCTAGCTCAGAAAGCTGTTGCTTCACTTGCTCTGCCAACTTGATGTTTCCATGAATGCTGCAAGCACCAAGAAGAGTCCGCCAGATAATAGCGTTAGGTGAAACAGGCATTTGACAGACAAATTCATAGGCCTCCTGCAGTTTACCAGCTCGACCATATAGGTCAACCATACAGCCATAATGCTCAATGGCCGGTTCCATATTGTAAATATCCTTCATCTTGGAGAAATAGTCACTACCTTGTTTGATTAATCCAGCATGACTACAAGCATATAAAATTGAAATAAAAATGATTCCATCTGGCCTAACTCCAGACTCTTCCATTTCATGAAATAGTCGTATAGCTTCCTTGCCATGGCCATGCATTGCAAGCCCAGCAATTATTGTGGTCCAAGAAATGATGCCCCTTGTTCCCGGCATCCTCTCAAAAACTAAACTAGCCATACCCACATTCCCGCATTTAGAGTACGCATCCATGAGAGCATTATTCACCGAAACAAGCCACGTAAATCCCCCCTTTTCAATTAACCCATGCAGTATTCTTCCAAATTCATAAGCCCCAGCCTGTGCACATGCAGACAGCACTCCGGTCAAGCTCACTTCATTTGGCCTCATCCCCGCCTGCTGCAACTCCCTGAAGTACCCAAAAGCCCCATCAAAACACCCATTATGAGCAAACCCAATGATCATTGTACTCCATGAAACATCATCCTTAACTGGCATTTCCCAGAAGATCTTCCTAGCCAACTCAAGCTCCCGGCCCTTCGTGTACCCAGCAAGCATGACATTCCACGATGTCAAATTCTTAGCAGGCATCCGATTAAATAATCTCGTAGCACCCTCCACGTCATCGTCCCTAAAGCACGCTGTAACCACTGAATTCCAGGCAACAACATTGGGCTCTCGCATTTCCTCGAACACCTTCTTCGCAAAATCCACACGCCCACATTCCCCGTACATACTGATCAATGTAGTCCCAACAAACAGATGGGTATCAAGCCCATGCGTCAAAGCTTGACAATGCAATTGGATCCCCGCCCTCAATGACCTATAACTCGCGGCTGCCTTGAGAATAAACGCAAAAGAGAAGCTATCAGGAGGGGCAAACGATTTTCGTCGCAAGTCGATGTAAGCAGTGATGGAGTTTTGGGGGGTATCGGAGTCGGAGAATCCTCGGATTATAGTGTTGTACATGAAAACATCTGGGTTTGGGAAACGGAGGAAGAGGAAGCGAGCATAGTCGAGAGCATCAGAGATTGTGACAGCGCAGTGGAGGAGAAGCTTCCCATAGATGAAAGGGTCGGTATCGAGGCCAGATTTTTGTAGAGAAGCTTGGATTTGTTTGAAGGTTTTCAGGCTCTTGCAGTTGCTCAAGAGAGAAAGATACTGCTGCTGCTGTAATCTGCTCATTCTCGAAGAGAGACATAGTTTCCCAGTTTCTGAGAGGGAGAACTGGTTCGTCGATAGATAGGAGGAGTTGGGACAATTCACAAAATGATGGCTGACTTTTAGTTATTTAAAATAAAAATAGGTCATTTTCTGTTTTTATTTTTAAAGAAAAAAAAAATAGAATAGTCGGAAAATATGGAAAATTATTTTCTAAAATAAAAATAATTTTTTTTATCTTATATATATATATATTAGGTTATGGTAGCACCATATTAGGACACATCATCACAAAAGCATTTGTTGTTCTAAAAATAATTTAATACATGTATATATGTAGAAAATTAAACTATGTTTGATTTATATGCATCATTTTATATAATTAATAATAACTTAAAGTGTTAATAAGAATGAAATTTAAGAAAAATAATTTTATTATTTTTTGTTTTTTTTAAATAGAACATATATACAAACTTTATAACATAATATAAATATCACTCTTTTCTATCTGATTTTTTTAAAAAAAATAATTGATATTATTTTTAATTATTTAATAAATATAATTTTTTTATATTTTAATATGATTTAAGATAAGAGAAAAAAATTGAAAAAAAAAAGAATCATATAATTTAATTATTTGATATACAATCAATTAAATGATAAATTTATTTAGAAATTAATATTTTATGTGTGTGAAATAAATAAATAATTTTTAAAATATTTTATAAAGCTTAGTTGAATAATTATATCTTGAAAATATGGTAATTAAGTTCTTCAACTTCTAAGCTTATTCTCGATTTTCATATAATCTAATAGGTGTTATAAATTTACTAATTTAAGATGCATGTACCTAAATATAAATTTTGTAATATATATATATATATATATATATATATATATATAACCGTTTTTTTGGGCTTAAAAGCCCATCATGTTTTATTATGTTCCAACTAGTCCTTTTATTTTAAAAAGTATTCAAAGACACCCTCCATCGTTAAATACGTGTATACGTGGAAGCTGACAGGACATGATCTTGTATTTTTGGCCATGTGGCTTCCATGTGGGTGTCCACGTTGTCATCCACGTGGTGCTAACGTTGACGCCTATAACTCTAAACACGATTAGAGTTAAATATCTTTTCTCCCTCTTTCTTTTTGTTTTTCTCCGCAACTATTGAAACTGGTGGCGGACTTGGAAACTAGAAAACTGTAAACTCAAATAAGAAAATGTAACGACTCCGGAAATTTAAAAAAAATATATAATAATTTAAGTGCGGAAGTGAAATAAAAAGTTAAAGTTTACATCCCTTATATAATAACTTAAAAGTACTAAACAAATATTACGGAATGAATTCTCTGAAAGAAACACGAGAAATACGAAAAGTAATGAAAAATAGAAAATATCTAGCATCTACTCGTAATCTTCCTGCGGATTGGGCTCTGGAACCAAGTCCTCTTGATCTGAAATGGTTAGATAAGGGATGAGTTACACTAACCCAGTAAGGATATCACACTATATCACCAACACAGAAGTAATGGTTGGTAGAAAATTAAAATAACTAATAGAGCACTAAATTTAGCAAATTAGTTTATCAATCGTAAAATCATTTACCGTTTACTTACCATTGTGGAATTTATGAAAATAACTTATAAAGACAATAATATCATATATATCATAACTTCATGCACAATCAGCAACATAGAACATATCATAAATTTATATTCATTAACAATAAATTAAATCATAATCATTTTTCGTTTCACCAGCCTACTAGTATCCATGGGGATCCATAAGGGTGTTCCCACTACACGTGAACCCTTTCTTTTAACAATCTCAATTACAGGGCCATCCCCATACTCCGTCCGGTATGAGCGCCAAATTTTCAATTCTCCATACCCCGTTCGGTATGAGACAACGTTCCAGTAGGGTTCCCTATGAATCCGGTCCGTCCACCATCTTCCAAGATATCTAGTGAGGTTGTCATCTTATCTGTTTATTTGATCACACCCATTTCATGTTCTCTCTTAGTCTCCGTTACCAAATCAAACATAATCACATAAACAAATGAACATGCATCCTGTAATGCAATCATATCTTAAATCTCAAAATCAAACAATGGTCAAGTAAGACAATAATACATGCATTTAAACCATAAAATAGATAAACTAAAAATATCATGCTTTTAGACTGCAAAATAAATCAACAGAAATCAACAAAGAACAATGTTCGGTTTAGACTCCATTAGCAATCCGTAATTAATTATGCACATCTATTTAATTTGTACAAAATACCGTATTATTATTTATTCAAACTTCAATTCTATGATAGGAAATAGGGTGAGAGGTCCTTATTTGATTTGACGCCAAAAGCTAAATAGCTTACTGCGCCAATGAGCAGTCATTGGATTTCCTGAATTTTTCTTCGGGAACTGAAATGCGCTTATGGTACCTACAAATGTCTCAAATAAACCCAAAAATCAGTCCCAATGCCTACTCAACTAATTTTGAAAATCTGGCACGGTGGCGGTCCGCCTCAGTTCGGCCGTTTTCGGCCGAATTCAGTCGATTTTACATCAATTCCTTCGAGCACACACGCTAAAGGGCCTCGGTGAGCCAAAAAAATATAAAAAATCGAAACTCACCGGCGGCGGGGCTCTCCAGTGCGACAGCTCCTTCGACTCACGTTGTAGTTGGGTGTTTCGCTTCGGTCAACCTGTAGAGAAGAAAACAGTGATCACAACGGTAAAAATATTACATGAAACGGAAATCGAAAATACTTATGACAATTGTAGGTCAGTGTTTATTAAATAAAATAAAATATAATATAATAAAATAAATAAATGAATAAATTATATTATATTTATTAATAAAAAATAAAAAAAAAATTTAGTGGGTGTTACAACTCTCTCCCCGTTAAAATAAATTTGGTCCCTCAAATTTGTCTCTCACTCTCAATCGAACAACTGGGGATACTGGGTTTTAAAGTCTGATTCTAACTCCCATGTAGCCTCTCTCGGTGTGTGGTTCTGCCATATGACCTTTACAAAGGAAATTTTTCGGTTGCAGAGTAATCTGCTCTTTCGATCCACAATGCCGACCGGTACTTCTTCGTAGGATAGATCCTCTTGGAGTGGAAGAGGCTCGTGGGCCAATACATGAGAGAGGTTCGGGTTGTACTTGCGTAACATGGACACATGAAACACATTGTGGACCTTAGAAAGTTCTGGAGGCAGTGCTAGTCTGTAGGCAGCGGTACCAATCCTGTCTAAGACTTCAAATGGTCCAATAAATCGGGAGTTCAGTTTCCCCCTCCTACCGAACCTATTGATTCCCTTGAAATGAGTGACCTTAAGGAACACTAGGTCGCCTTCCTTAAATTTTAAATCTCTCCTCTAGGTGTCTGCATAACTCTTCTGTCTACTCTTAACCGTCTGAATATTCTTCCTGATCTTAACTATTTTGGATGTAGTCTCCTCTATCAGATATGGGCCGAACAGTTTTTTATCACCCACTTCTTCCCAACAAATAGACAATCTGCATGGGTGCCTATATAATGCCTCATACGGAGCCATGCCAATACTCTCTTGGTAGTTGTTGTTGTAGGCGAACTTTATCAAGGGTAGGTGGTCATCCCAATGGCCCCCAGAGTCAATGACACAAGCTCGGAGCATATCCTCAAGTGTACGGATTGTCTTTTCTAACTGTCCATCAGTCCGAGGGTAGAATGCAGTACTGAGAGACAATTTCGTTCCCATGGCTTGTTGAAAGCTACTCCAAAACTGAGAAGTGAACCTGGGGTCCCTGTCAGACACCACTATCACTAGCACTCTATGCAATCTGACTATTTTTTAAATATACATTCTTTCTAACTTGTTCAAGGGATCGGTCGTCTTGATGGCCAAGAAGTGGGAAGACTTGGTAAGCCGGTTAACAATTACCCAGATGACATCATATCCTGAGTGTGCCGTAGGTAATCTTATCACGAAGTCCATAGTGATATGTTTCCACTTCCATTCGGGATCGGTAATGGCTGAAGTAGCTCGTCTAGGCGCTGATGCTCTGCCTTGACCTGTTGACATACCAAACACTTAGAAACAAAGTCAGTTATATCTTTTTTCATCCCGTTCCACTAAAAATGGGGTTGTATATTTTGGTATAGTTTAGTGCTTCTGGGATGCATGACAAACTTAAGTTATGGGTCTCTATCATAATGCCTCTCCTTAACTCACTTTCACTTTAAACACACACCTTGTCCTGGAATCGGAGCAACCCATCGGTGGAGACTCAGAATTCTAAGCTAACTCCCTGTTCTGCATCTTTCTTGAGGGTTACTAGGGCGAGATCGGCTGACTGAGTTTCCCTTATTCTCTGTATTAACTCAGACTGAATGGTTAGATAACCTAAACATGTGACTCTCTTCAAGTCCTGAAGTCGAACCTGTTG